GGCAGGGGGCACAGGGGAAGGATGCCCCCTCCCCCACACTGCTCTGGGCAGGGGGCACAGGGGAAGGATGCCCCCTCCCCCAGTGCTCTGGGCAGGGGGCACAGAGGAGGGGTCCCTTACCCCATTGCTCTGGGCAGGAGGCACAGGGGAAGGATGCCCCCTCCCCCATTGCTCTAGGCAGAGGGCACAGAGGAGGGGTCCCTTACCCCACTGCTCTGGGCAGGGGGCACAGGGGAGGGGTCCCTTACCCCACTGCTCTGGGGCACAAGCCAGGAATACGCAGGGACAAGGAGGTTGAAAGAAGGAACCCACCTAGATGGCAAAAAAGACCCCACCCACCCACCCACCCAGCCCAACACCAAGGCAGGGGAAGGAGGAGCCATGTAACTCTTTTTGCTGACAGGGAAACTGAGGCCTACGGAAGGGGAAGGGTCTAATGGGAGCACCTAGTATAACGACCTCATTATACAGATGGGAAAACTGAGGCTGGGGAGGGAGGGGGCCTGGAGACCACCCGGCCTAAGCCCCTCCCTTCACGGGCAGAGAAGCTGAGGGGCAGCGAGGGGCAGGGACCCCCAAGACCACTCAGTCCTGTGGCCTTGTTTTAAGGGGGCGGACACTGAGGCAGGAAGGGCCCGGGGCTCGGGGGGCGCGGGGTTACCTGTGTTCTCCCCGCTTTCTGTCGAGGCCGCCGCCGCTCGCAGAAAAGAAAACATGGAGCCGCCTCCTCATCAGCCCGGGCGGCAGGGGAAGGGCGGGCCGGGGCCGGGGCCGGGCCGGGCCTGAGGGCGGGCGAGCTAGCGGGCGGGCGGGCAGGCGGAGCTGGGCGGGAAACGGGCGGGGGACGGGCGGGGCCTCGGGTGCGAGGAGAAACGGGCTGCGCACGCGCACCCGGGCCGGGCCAGTGGCCAGGGGCGGGGCCCGCGTGGCAGCCCCGCCCGCCGCGGCCTCCTGGATAACGTAGTCCCACTCTCGCGCCCATCCAGGCTCCGGAGCTCCCAAGAAACCACAACTCCCAGCAGTCCACGCGGAAGCGCGGGAGCGGGAAAGGGAAGCTCGTATATCTGGCGCTCAGCATTCCAAGGCACCATAACTCCCAGAAGGCCAAGCGGCGACGCAGGCGCTCAGGGGATGGCCCGCCTACGGGCTTCCTGCGGGCTGGACAGCGTGTCCGGCGCCTCGTGTCCAAACCAGCACCTACGAGGGTCCAGGCCTGTTCCAGTGAGGGGCTGCTGCTGCTGCAGCTGCAAAGATAAAAACAAAGCAGGCCGGGCCCTACAGCGGCATTCACTGTTGTGGCGATACATACGCCATGTAACCAGATCACTTAGCCTTACTGTCGCGCCGAACTACAACTCCCAGCAGGCCAAGTGGAAGGGAGGGGGAGAGAGAAAAGAAGGGGGAGAAAGTGGGGGCCTAGAGCTATGTGAGGCTTGCAGCCTATCCAGACCATCCTGTACATTTTCTAAATGGGGAAACTGAGGCCTGGAAAGGGGAATAATCATGACACCCAAAGGTGTTAAGGATTATTTTTTACTTTTTTGTTGTTGAGGCCCAAAGAAATTCAGTGACATGCCTGCAGCGAGCTTTAACCCAGGACTTCTAACGCTAAATCTGGGGCTCCCTACAGCACACTGGAACCAACCTTGGAGCTCATTTCATCCAAATCCTTCATTTTACAAATGAATAAACTGAGCCCAGGGAGGGCATATGTCATGCCCAAGATCAAAAGGGTGAAAGATGGCAAAGCCAAGCTCAAGCCTGAGCTGAACTTAAATTCACTGCCTCAGGTATGCTGACCTTCAGTACTTGGTCAACAAGCCAACAAGCATTAAAACTTGGAAAGACTTACATGAACTGATGCGGAGTGAAATGAGCAGAACCTGAAGAACACTGTAGGATGACTGCAGCAAAGCAAGAATCTAAGACAATTCCAAAAGATTCATGATGGAAATTTCTATCCACACCCAGAGAAAGAAATATGGAATCTGAATGCAGATGGAAGCAGACTATTTGCTCTCCTCTTCCTTTGTTGTTTTGTCTTATTGCTGGATTCTTGTGGTTCCTCCCATTAGTTCTAATTGTTCTTTATATCATGACTAATGGGAAAATATGCTTAACATGAATATCTATGTAGAGCCTGTATCAGATTGTACACCTTCTGGGGAAGGGGGAGAAAATTTAAAACTCAAAATCTTATGGAAGTGAATGTTGAAAACTAAAAATAATTAAATATAAAAAAAATAAAAAGGGATAGCAAAAAAAAAAAAGTTAACAAGCATTTATTAAGGGCCAAATAAAAAATGTTTTTCAAAGAAAAAGGAAAACAATCACAGTCTACCTGAGAGAGATTGGGTCCTAAAGCACTCTCTCTGAGGCCACAGAAAAGGCAGATCCTGCCCTTCCGCACTGGTTTCTGATCTCCATGGCCACCAACTGGATGTGTAACCTTGGCTGTGTCCCTTCCCTTCCCCAGGTCTCTATTCTCTTCTGTAAAATGAGAGGGTGAGACTAAATGATCTCTAAGGACCCTTCCATTGGCCTACAAGTGAGCCATCGCTGTATTTTAAAAGTCGCCTGGAGCCCACAGAGGAGGAAGGGCAGGATACTGAACTCCAGCAGCAGCAGCATGGTCTAGGCTGTCACCAGCGTAACTGCTGCATCATCACTGGCCCTCAGCCACCCCCAGAAAGAGCCTTCTCTCTGGCCAGGCTTGCTTATTGGTCACCATCCATCCTCCCAGTCATTCTGAAGCCTCTGAGCACTTCGGACCACACCTGAGAGGCCCAGGTTGGGCCGCATTTATGTTGTAGAAATAGCCTCGGAATGTGAAGTCAGAAAACCCAGATGAGCATCCCAGTTCTGCTATGTGAGGCTTTGGGGCAGTCACTTACCCCTGTCTGGGGCCCAGGCTCCTCCTGAGGGGATTAGACTTAGTGACCTCCAAAAGTGCTGTAGGAGGGGAGTGGGAGAAGCCACAGGCAGAGCCCTTGTCTGCACCCCCCACCCCTCCACCCGCCCTCCTGACCACCTTCTTTCAGGTCCTGCCCAGTCCCTTCATCATATTTTATTCCAGGGGCCTCAGAGCAACCAGCCCAAGGAATTGGGTAGAAATCAAGGACCTAGGAGCAAACACTGAGCTGGAAGGCACCTCCGAGGCCACTAGTCCAGTCCTTTCATTTAACATAAGGAGAAGGTGAGGCCCAGAGAGGGGGTGGGCTTCGAACCTCCAACTCTGATTCCAAAGCTGCATGTTCTCGTCCATCCACTCGGGGAGCCCAGGGGCCCTTCTTTATCTTATCTGAACTGGATCCCGGTCAGGACTCAGAGTGGGGCTTTGTATACAGTAATTACTCAATAAATGATTGTTTGCTCACTGATTTTGTTCCCTGGATGGTGGCTCTAGTGGCCTCTTCGAAAGGCAAGCGGAGTCAGGAGACCTGGGTTTGAGTTCTGATCCTGCCACTGGGCAGCTCTGTGGTCATGGGCGGCGGTTTCTTCCTTGTTGAAAAGGGTTCAAATAAGGGCTACACAAGCTCCTTCAAAGGATTGTCATGAGGAAAAACACTTGACATGCTTTATTATTGTGGAGTCTTATTATTCTGATGAGTGTTGAGGGCACAGGAGACTTTATAATAACAGCTGATGCCCATAACTCTCTAAAAACATCATCTCATTCAGTCTTGGCAGCAACCCTCTGGTGCAGTATTACTAGTCCCATTTTATAGAGGTGAACACTAAAGTTCTTAGATACACCTCGCCTGTGAGGGCCAGAGGCAGCATTCGAACTCAGGTTTCATATATGTACAACATACTATGAAGCAGTATGCAAACCATAATATAATATCACATAATATACAATGTCAAGCATGTGTCATGAGAACTGGCATTTTTATAACCCTTTAAATTTTGTAATGGGCAGCTAGGTGGCGCCACAGTGTATAGAGCCCGGGGCAGAAGACTCATCTTCCTGAGTTCAAATCTAACCTCAGACACTTAATAGCTGTATGACCCTGGGCAAGTCACTTCACCCTGTTTGCTTCAGTTTACTCATCTATAAAAAAAAAAAAAAAATGAGCTGGAGAAGGAAATGACAAACCACTCTAGTATCTCTGCCAAGTTGCTTAACCTGTTTGCCTCAGTTTCCTCATCTGGAAAATGAGCTGGAGAAGGAAATGGCAAACCACTCCAATATAACAACAAAAGTTTGCAATATATTTTATATACATTATCTCACTTAATCATCCAAACTGCTGCTTGAGAGAAGAATGAGAGATGTTGTCATTTCCATTTTACAGATGAGGAATTTGAGACACAGAGAGCGTCGGTGACCTGCCCCGGGTCTCTCAGCAAGAACCATGTCTAGAACAGAAGCCACTTCTGCTGACCATGAATCAACCCCCATTGGTTAAGGATCTACTATGTGCCTGGCACCACCCAAGGTCCTGGAGACTTCAAGATCAAAAGGAATCCAACCCTGCCTTCCAGAAGCTTCGTGCCTGTCCAGGAGACAATGGGTCCATATTAAAGAGAATACAAAGCATAGACCAAAGAAAGACCTTCGGAGGAGAAGAGGCTGGAGAGGAGGCTGTGGTCCTCCTTTTTTTGCCAGCGAAATCTCGTAATAAAAACCAGGAGCTGGCTCCTTCTTAGACCTGCAGGGTTCTGAGCTTAGAGATTCTCCGCCCCTGCCCCCATTGTACAAACTCACAGAGGGAAGGGCCTTGTCCAGAGTCTAGGGGGTCATAAATGGCAGGGCTGGGAAGGTTCAGAGGTTAGCAGCAAGCAGAAATATCAGGGTATGGACCCAGAAGGAGTTCCTGTTTTCCACACAGCCGACACCGCCCTCTCTGCTTGGTTGTTCTGAAATGGCACCCTCACATGCATACATACACATATATATGCACACACACATACACACATCTGCCCACATGCTCTTACGTACATACCTTCCCATATACAGGCACATATTACACACGACACATTCCCATATACACACACACAATTTCATATACGTTCACATACTCACACCTACACACTCATACACACACACACACACACACTCGGAGGGCAGCACACAGGCCACAGTGGTGCTGGTGGTGGATGGCTGCCCAACCCAGAAACAGGCCATTCGGAGGCCCCTGCCTGAGCAGCTGGAATGTGCCCAGGCAGGGGTGGAGAAGGCATGGGGCACAAGCAAACATCCCTCTGATCCCGCTCCCCCGCCCCAGCCACAAAGGAGTGCCCAGGAGCACAGGGTCCTTTCCTGTCCCATTGACCTTTTCTCCACCGAAGGCCTCCTCCTATGACTCATCACGGTCTGTGGGCGACCCGGGGTTCCACAGGCAGTGCCAGCGGAGCTCAAGCCGTGGCAAGTCCTAGCAAACTGGAGAGACTCCAGTCTGGGCCTGCTGCTGGACTGTGAGTCTGATGGAGGAGAACTTCACTTGCCAAGTTCAAGGCTTTGGGGGGGATGATGGGGGGGTGGGAGAACTGGGGGAGTCGGAGGCATAACAACACTGAACAACTGCCTGGCAAGCCTTGGGGGTTGGGTTCTGCCCCGGCAGGGGACAGGACAAACCACAGATCAGCCAATTTCGTCAATCAGCCAGCATCTATTAAGCACAGGGGCCAGAGCACTGAGCCTAGGGTCAACAAGTTGTTGTTGAGCGGTTTTCCCCTTTCGGGGTTTTCTCGGCAGAGATACTGGACTGGTTTGCCATTTCTTTCTCTAGCTCGTTTTACAGATGAGGAAAC